GCAACATTCTATTGGAATGGATGGCAACAAATGACCTTACACTTCAAAATAACGGCAACGAAGCCACGTTTGCAAAAGTGGGGGGCTAGCTCAATTGTCGACCTGACTATGTCAAGCGGCAACCTCAGCGCCAAGTTTATAGGCTGGAGAGGGTTAGACGTGGAATCACTCAGTGACCACAGATACATCTTTTTCGCTGTAGACAATGGAAGAAGCACAATGCAAAACACCGCATCCAAGCACACCAAAAAATTGAACCTGCTGAAATTCAACGAAGCGGTTGTCGCAGCGGCGCTAACCCCCCCTCCGGAGACCCCCGAAGGCCTCGACGTACTGGTGAAAGAGATTTGCAACGCCTCAATACCCAAAAAGGGTCTAACCCTAAGCACAAGGAGCCAGCATACTAGTGGATCGACGACATCGCCAAGCTCAGAAAAACGTGCCTCACCCTGAAGAGAAAGCTCACCAGGAATAATCGCAGACTCCACGAGACTACCGTCAGACAGGGAAACCTACAATACTCACAGGAGAGAATTGAAAGTGGCTATCAGCAAGGCAAAAAGGAACTGCTGGAGAAAACTCTGTGACGACATCAACAATGACTGCTGGGGTGACGGCTATAGAATAGCGACAAGGAGGCTTAGAGTCATGACCTAAAACAGGGCATTGACGATGGAAAGATCTCTGGAAGCAGCGAAACTCTTGTTTCCCTCCAGACCACCTACGGCTTGGTATTTCGGTGATTGATAGGTTTCTAATTGGATTTAACTAGTTTTCTGCCTTTTTGATTAAAAGCGAAACAATATGTGGGTGTTGAACAAAGGTATATTTTTCGGGGTAATACTGAGATATTTCTTTGTATTCAGATGACAGGGTAGTTTTAGGATAATAAATCCCTACTAATAGGATCGAAATCTATTTTATTTAGCTTACGAAAGTTGTCTAAAAAGCCCTAACTGTTGATGGAAATGTTTGTTTACTGCCGAATAAATATCAATTGGCAATACTTACGAGTCTCGTATTTTCCATTATTAGGAATCTGCAACACCACAAATCACTTCCACACCCTTTAAATCGCTTTTTCACCCTTATTTGTACTAATGTTTACATTTTCTTGGTTATTTATTTTCCCCGAATAAGTGTGGCTATGTAACACTTGCTGATCCGTTTCAGGCAGCGTTGTTGCCGAGGTTTCTTGAACTTTGTCGCTATAACGTTGCTGTCTCTGAACAGGTGGTTATTTTGATGGTTTTTAGACTAAAGACTGCGTAACAGTGAGTTTTGTTTGTCATCAATGTGGTTTGGGTTGTTCGTTTCAAGCTGTTTATCCCTTTTACCTAGTCATGACCGGAAATCTGACACCAGAGGACATCTTGGAAAAAATAGAATTCTGGGAAATTTCTTATATTATGAGCCCACCTGGTAAATGGCTAAAATAGGGTCGTTCTCTTTAAATTCGCATGTTGAGCAAGCAACAAGTTTTTTGGCAGATTTTACCAGCGGTCCTCTTTGCTGCGTTCCTTGGAACATCCACCTTTTGTGGAATTTTAGAGTGGGATCTCAAGTGGTAACTGGCTTATTTGGTTTTGGAGTGAGAACTTGGATTTGGTCGTAAGTCCCCGTATTTGTAAGCCAACCACTCAGAATTTTCTGGAAACGAAAATCTACGCATTTGTTGAGTTGTCGTGCGAGCAAAGAGCACGTTTTGTTCAACTAGAAGCCCGAATTGTAACCAGGTAAATTTAAACGTTTTCATCAATCTGATTTTCACCTTTTTGTTATCAATATTGAGATTAGCGTTTCAGTAATTTTGCAAATATTTGGGATTCTATAAAAAAAAAGGCAATTTGACCTCCACGAGGGGCAATTTGTCAGTAAAAAACTCACTGGTCACTTTCAAAATGGACATTAATGGCCTTAATAATTAAGGGGATTTTTTTTAAGGCATCTTGCATCAGGTTTCAGGGAATTTTGCTACTTTAATCATTTCATTTATGTACCGTTTGAGGGTTGGGATTTTGATTTCATAAGTATGAAGGAGTTCTAAGAATTTGAACTCTTTCAGGATTTTTAGGTTTTACCTTTCCATTGAGTTTTTCTCTTTCGACGTTTTGCTAACGTTTCGAAGGTAAGGTGTCAGAGTACCCACAACACTGAACTTGAAACCGAAATTTACCCTATTTAAGAAGGGAAGTCAATAGAAGTTGATAGGGTCTGTTATCAGGGCTGTGAGGCTTTCATGAGACAGTAATGGAAATGGGTGCTTAGACTGCATGAAGGACCATAAGGGGGTGATGTACCCGTAAATTTATTAACGTTTCTAAATTATTATTTTTTTATTATTAGGAATTAATGGTATTTCTTATATTTAACTTGGTACATTTCCAATTTTGTTTTACTGCCTTCATCATTACAATGGGTGTACTGCACCAATGATTATTAATGTACTATATTTAAGGTGACATCTTTGTACAAACCCGCCATGGTATAACGTACACAAGTTTTAAATAATATTATTAATCTTTTTATTCCTTAATTGTTCTCTTTTACTCTAATTGGAGTAAGATGGTCAAACATTTCTTGGTAAATCCTCTATAAGTCTTTGAAATGCAATTGCGAGTCCAAACAAACCCCCCCCCCAGATCATATTAAATAGATTTATACTCATTGTGACCTCAACCAAACTAAGGTAAAGTTGTTTTTAAAGGATAGGTACATCAGGTGGGAACATCTTGGAGGAATTTTGGAGATCAGGGACTTTCTGGTTTAAGTCCGCGGATTTTATTTTATAAACCAGTGGCGTCCTATTAAGCTAAATCTATATAATGTACCTACTCCCACATTGACTGAGTAGCCGCGAGCACTTTGTTGCGCTGGCCGCATTCCTTAAGGGTGTCTTAGTGTACCTAGACCTATTAGGGTTTATTTATTCAAATTTAGTTTCAAACAGTCTAAAGGTTAATTTTTGCGCAACAACGTGCAGTGGAGCAGATTTTCCTGAACTTACTATAAACGAAATAACAGACGCGTGTCACAAGCTGAAACCCAATAAAGCTCCAGGCACAGATGGCATACCCGCAGATATCCAGAAACTCCTAGCTGAGAAAAAATCCCAACTCTTTCTGAAAACCTCCAGCAACGTATTGAAAAACCGCGTGTTCTCACGAAACTGGAAGATAGCTAGTCTAGTACTGATGGAGAAGCACAAAAAATCGGCACACGACATCCAGAAATTCTGTCCCCTATGCCTGCTTAACTCATGTGGCAAACTCCTTGAGCACGTCATCCTCGCGAGACTAAACATGAATCTCGGCCTAACGACTCCATTGAGCGGGTTCAGGAAAGGAAGATCCACCACTATGGCAATCTTGAAGGCACTAGACACGATAAGACCAGAAATCTACAAAAAAAGCCATAGACACAGGCTTATCGGCATAATGGTTACCCTGGATATCAAAAACGCCTTAAGCTCGGCACCTTGGCAAATTATCATACGGGAGGTGCAGCGCGATACCTGGTCAATCTCATTCAAGACTACTTTACGCGGAAGGCCCCGCGAGAACACGTTCTACATGTCCTGCGGCGTCCCACAGGGCTCAGTCCTGGGACCCACCCTTTGGAACATCTTATACGACGGCCTTTTCAATTTAAGACAACCAGAGGGGGAGTCACTGATCGGCTACGCAGACGACGTCGCTAGAGTCGTCCTGGCCACAGACATCGACGTGGCATAAACCAAGATAGGAGCGGCAATGACCGACATCAGGTGCTGGCTCCAAGCAAACCACCTCGAGCTATGTCAGGAGAAGACCGAGGCAATTATTCTTTCCTCAAAGAGAGTTGTCCCTAACAAGGACGTGAACATTGTGTGCATAATCGTTACGCCGAAGCCCGAAGTCAAATACTTAGGAGTCTGGTTGGACAACAAACTCTCCTTCGCTTCCTACATAAGGAACGTGACCACGCGGGCTGGTAATGCCATGTCCGCTCTAGCGCGGCTAATGCCCAACGTAGGAGGACCAGCACCCAGCAAATGGAGGATGCTATGTTGGGTGGCGAGGTCCATACTTCTGTATGCTGCACCTGTCTGGGGCCATATTATGGACATCAAAAAGTATCGGAACATCCACTCGAGGATACAACGTCAAGCAGCTCTCTGCATATGTAGCGCCTATTGCGCCACCTCAACAGACGCCATCTTGGTAATAGCGGTGACCCCTCCCCCCTCCCTATGAACCCTTCCCACCAGATAGGCCATAACAGTACAGACCTCAATGCTTTTAAAAAACGCCGCCCGATCGGAATCCAAAGAAACCACCAGGGCGGAATACCAAAATAGCACAAAGCACAAAGGGCAGATGGACGTATAGAATGATAACAAACATATCTACATGGACAAACAGGAAACACGACGAGACGGACCACTTCCTTACCCAGCTTCTGACAGGACACGGATGCCTCCGCTCATACACTTACGAAATAAAAACCGCAGACGACGAGTGCGTATACAGTGGGGAGGCCAACATGGCACAGCACACCTTTTTCTACTGCAAGCACTGGCTAGAGCACCGCAAAGCCTGCACGAACAAGATAGGGCCCATCTCGCTGAAGACAATCGTGGATAAAATGATAAGCAGTTTCCAGAACTGGAACGCTGTCAAGACTTTTGCTAACGAGGTAATGAAGGAAAAAATAGGTGATTAAGACAACTTGACAACTGAATTTGAAGACATCTGAAACAACAATCGCCGCCATTTGAAGTAATGCCCTCGTAGTTCCAAATGGTTGCATAGCTAGAATTCCAGAGGGGAAAGGGTTTTAGTCGGTCGGTGATCCTCAGAACAGGACATCATCCCGACACACCCCCTGGCGCCAGAACAACAGCCAGGGATAGTCTGCCTAACGTCGTGGGGCACCCTGTATCTTGCTGGAAGATACCTTATTGACACCTGTAAGTCTGTCGAATCGATCTGTCGTTTGAAATAAATACATGAATCAAAATGGAACATATTCATTTCGTGATCGATAACAGCGACATTCGAACATGTATCAAAGTGTTACTATTGTTTTCTGCCTTCGGTTTGTCAGTTACTGCTTTCGCTTTGATTAGTCATGGAGTTAGGTGCCTAATAGATCTTCCTTACGATGACGTGAATCTCTACCGGAGAATAAAAATCGCGGCTATCGTAAATATAATAATTGGAATCGTAACGTCTATAGTTAGTTTGGTAAACTATGGTATTGTGGGAAATTACATAACTAGACTGTATCATATTAAAGGCATCTATAAAATTTTTGCTGCTCTCGTGATGGTAAATGGCGTGCTAATGATGGGCTTTGGAATTTACCTTGTAGTTACATCGGCCAAAAATTATGACCAAAATATGAGAATGGATCTAGAGAAAATGCTAATAGTGAAATTTGAAGGATATTTCCACAACGGTGAAAATGAGAAGTATGTTGACAATTTTCAGAAGTATTATAAATGTTGTGGTCTGTATAAACCAGATTATTGGCAGGAAGAACCTCCACGTAGTTGTTATACCTCCAGGCAGCGTCATGAAAAAGGATGTATCGAAGCTTCTAGTACTTCTGGCATGTGGACCCGGGGTATTATAATGATAGTTGTCGCAATATTTCATATTCCTCTAGCAATACTGGCTGTCTACTTAGCCAAAGTTATTCGACCAGATGCGCCAGTAGTATCTTCACTTCAACAACCCAGTACAAGTAGTAGTACAACCAACAGATATTATTTATCCGAGGGGGTATAGTATACCTAACATCCCATCATCTAATCAAATTCATCAATAAACAATCAATATTGGAGGCACTTGTTTCATTATTCCGGCTTTCTTGAAAAGACCGAATCCTTTTTCAATTGAAATTCGAAAGTTTAATTTCAGGAAAGGGAAAATATATTTTAGATAGGAACTTGTAATTCAGAAAAGAGAAATTGAATTTAAGAATCGTACATTTAACAGAATAGGGAAAATGATTCAGATTAGGAAGCTGGAATTCAGAAAGCCAAAATTGTAATTCAGAATAATAAATTGAAATTCAGAAATTGTCAATTAAAATTTAGAAAAAAGAAATTGTATTTTAAAAGGTGTCAATAACTAAACAAGTAGGAATTTGGAAATTATCTCTATTCCAAGCACTTGAATTATCTTTATCCAGAAATGTTTGAAGAAAACAGAAGATTAAGAGTTGTGAAAAGAGCAAAATTGAGACAGGAAATATTAGGTATTAGGGAGAAAATTTGGAAATAATTGAGAAATGAAAATAGGAAATTCAGGGAATATTGAAGACAAACTGGGTAGACAAGTAGGAATTTAAAAAAAATTCTATTCCAGGCTCTTAAATTCTCTTTATCCAGAGCAAATGAAGCATAAATTTTTTTAAAAAAAGACAAAAACTGAACTGGAAAAAGTTTGATACCTAATAGAGCTGTTTCTGCAGGAATCACAAACCAGTCAGAGTGAATTTCATTGGTTGAAACTAGTTTTCTGACTGTTTCCAACCAATGAAATTCGCTCTGACTGGTTTGTGATTTCTGCAGGCAATCCAAACCACGTGATATTCAAGATAGCGTGGCGGTCAAACATGGGCCAAAAAACACAAAAAAATATCTAGTTTCTGCTTAAGAGTTTACGTACCTAGTCAACAAATATTTAATTAAATATTCAAAATCAAAGTTGCAAGAAAAATAATTAAAATACGCATAGAAACACGCATATTCAAAACAAACTTGCTTGGCAGGGCCACGCCATATTGAATTCTTGTTTTGACAGATGGTTTAAATTGCCTAAAGCCTAGTACTCAACTGCGAAATTCGCTTTTTTTGACATTGCTTCGACAATTCGACGTTTGATTCACGCATTAAACGTCAAATTATCGAAGCAATGTCAAAAAAGAGCGAATTTGGCTGTTACGAGTACCAGGCTTACTTGGAGGAAAAACTGGTTCACATTTACGCATAGGTTATTTTTTCTATTCCAGGCTTTCTGAATTTATTCTATCTACGGGCCGGTTACTCAATAGCGAGTAACCTTCGGGTTAATTTTAACTCCAGGGTACACGTGTCCAGCTGCTATGTTAACCCTGGAGTTATGCTTAACCCGGAGGTGACTCGCTATTGAGAAATTGGCCCTACATAGTTTAAAAAGGAGGCCTGATATACAAAATGTTAAATGAGTCACATGTCACACCTTCCATTCTTAAAAGTCCTAAGGATTCGTTTTAAACACTCCAACAAAGTGGAAATTTATAAACATATGGTGGAACCGTGAACATTCCCCAATTCAGAAACAATTCTTGTGAATCAATTGACGCTTTTCGAATTTATTGCTTGATGGGTAAAATGTTGCGAGACACCTTGTATCTTGCTGGAAGATACTTTTTGACACCGGTTACGGTAAATTCCTCGAAAACAATTGCTCGAAAACCAATGCTCGGAAGTAATTGCTCGAAAACCAATTGCTCGAATCGGCAATTCCTCGATTGAATAATTGCTCGAAAGTTCCCGGTTCAATTAATACTCAAAAATAAGATAGGAATTCCGGAAGTATCGAGTAGTATCGACTATGTAACGCGACACGTATACTTGAGATTGAATTTTGTTCATGGCGGATATTACCTATACTAGGAACTCTAGAAAGAATACAAAGAAAGAGCAAATTTTTTACAAAATCACATTACCAAAATTATGCAAATTAGAGGTTAAGGTAATAAGTAGGTACTTGAACCCCCGTAAAAAATACAATCAATCAAAGAAATTAACAATTTAAATGCTTGTTTAAGTTACCTATATTTATATTTAGGGGTTACAAAAATACGTATCCACAATAGCGATAAATTCAAGACGATTATGCAAATTAGAGGCGTCCTTAGCCTTATTATTCTAAGGTAATAAGTACTTGAATTATTGTAAATATGACGTATTTCAATCCATTTCAGGTAATTATTCATTCACTTATTACTTCTATTTTCGGAAAACCCATACTTCCTAATTACTTTTTTTCTACGAAAGAGATCTACCATCATACCCATTTCCTCAACTGCAGCTATTTAAAAGGGAAACTGAAACTAATTTTTGTCAGTATTAGTTAGTTTTTCAGTGAGAAGTTTACGTACTTAATTATGGAATTTGTCCAAGGCGAGAAAGGGAAAAATGAACTTTTCGTAGAAGGTTATTTATTTATCAAAGACAAGCAAGCCAATGGAAAAGACTATTGGAAATGTGAACATTCCAAATCAAAAAAATGCAAAGCTCGCGCAATTACAGAAGGAGTGATAAGCAAAACAACTGGAGACCACAACCATGTAGCGGACGCAGCTTCTGTCTATGCGGGCAAATTTATGGATAGGGCCAGAGCAATGGTGAAATCTTCAAGAGAATCACCGCATTTTATAGTCTCTACTTTGTCGCCTGATGTTAAAGAGGGTGCCATTGGAAAACTGCCTCCGATTAGTTCTATAAAACGGACAATAAGAAATGTTCGGATGCGAGAAGAAACAGGATCAGTACTACCTCAACGTCTAGAAGATATTATCTCTGAAGATCTAAAAACAACTCTATCAGGTGAATTTTTTTTAATTTTTTTTGATTCTGGAACTATCGACTCACGTATTCTCATTTTTGAAACAAAAAATGCTTTGGGGTTTCTAAAGAGATCGGTAAACTGGTACATGGATGGCACTTACAAAACAGTAGCAAGTTTTTTATTAGGGACGAGTTTTTGGAATTGCTGTTTTTTTGCTAATATAGATAAATTGGACTATTTGTTGGAGGAAAGGGAATTTGAGTTTTCTATGATTTTTTGTAAAGAACTCGGTATCTATGTTTTGTGCATGTATCGCTCTCCTAGCAGTTTTTTAGGCGATTTTTTGGTCAAACTTGAGATTTTGTTGTTGGGTTTGGAATCAATGTCTATCATTATTTTGTTTGGTGATCTTAATGTAAACTTCTTGGAGCCATTTAATTCTTATTATCCGATCTCTTGTTCTCTTTTGACCTTAACTTAATTGTTGAGAACCCTACAAGAATCACTCCACATTCGGCCACTTTCATAGATTATGCATGCAACAATGTGGAATCAAACAGTTTTCAAGTTCAGGTTGTGAATGCGGGAATCTCAGATCATGAGGCAATTTATCGTACATTTGCAATAAGAAAAAAAAAATTAGAATGCAAATAGGTTTAAGAAAGGAAGGGTCTACTGCAAAAATAATTATGAAACATTTTTGCAACTGTGTATCGGCGAAAATTGGCAGTTGGTATTGAATAATTTTGAACCATTGGGAGAATTTCATAAATTATTATTTAAGCAATTTGATAGAGTATTCCTCTTAAGAGTTTTAAAAAAGAAAAAGAAAATTGATAAGCCTAGGTTTACAAAGGGCATAAAGATATCAGCAAAAAACATGAGATCACTGCACTGTATTAGAAAGTTTAATATGAACAATCCACTATTTATTTCTCACTTTAATAAAAATAGGACGATATATAGAAAAACAATCAAAATAGCCAAGCAGAACTATTATCATGATAGAATTGCGGGCTCTAAGAATATACAAAAGGAAACTTGGAAGATCGTTAACGAGCTTCGAGGGAAAGGTAGTAAATATGAAGGTTCAGGGTCTAAACTTACATCAGCCAAATTGAATGATTTTTATTGTATTGTTGTAGGAAGTTTGTCTACCCAAATTTGGGCTACTTACGATCATTGGTAGGTATTTCTTCAAGTATCAACCACCCTCGGGGTCCTTTTTTCTTGCTCCTACTGACATATTCGAAATAAATACCATATTTAAGGACATCAAATTAAATGCTGCGTCGGGTTTTGGACGAAATATCAATAAGGTTATTTTTGAAACTTCCTATGCAAGCTCGTGAGGTCTTGGTGAGTTGTATAAACCATTCATTTTGTACTGGGGTACTTAGGTGAAACACCCGGATTTTCGGAATTTTGCTTACATATGTTTTTTGGTCCTTTAAATTTTTTGTTTTCGTTTTACAGTGTTGTATTCTATTCTATTGTATTTTAAATTATTGATAATTATATAAAGCGTATTAAGGCGAGTTTAAACAACTTCATAACTTCAATTTAGTGCGTAATTCACAATTTAGTGCATAAGCTTTAAAGTTAAATTTATTAATTTCTATGGAAGCGTTTATACATCTATTTAATGCTCAATTCATAATTTAGTTCATAATGGGTAACCTTAAAAGTTCCCAACTTTTAACTTTTATGCATTAAATAATGAAAAAACTGGACCTTTCGAGTTCTGTCAGTGTCAAATTTCAAAATATCAATAGAAACATTTCGAAAATTATGTATTAAGTTATGAATTTGTTTAAACTGGGGTTTTGAGTTATGTATTAAATTACGCATTAAATTATGAAAAAGTTACGACTTAAATTTATCAAAAGTTGTTTAAATCTGCCTTTAGTGTGATGAAAAGAATGTGTAATGTTTAGGAAAAAAAAAAATCCATGATGATATATTTTTATATAGTATAGTGACTTGTCGCCGTTTTTTAAAACCTCTACAATATGAAGAACCAAACAATGATAAGTGTTCTTTTACTTTAAACATAAAGCATTTACTTTTGCTTATTTCATTAAATGTTTATGTGATGATTCTTCATCAGAAGTAGGTTATTATTTTGGTCTTGATGCAGCTGATGAATTTTGCAAATGAATTGAAGCTCATGTTCATAGAATTTATAATAATTATTTAAAACATGTAGTACTTACTGATGGTTCCTCTTACAAATGAAGAAGAATTTCAATTTGAAAATTGTATAATTTGCAGTATATGTAATGAAAAATTTAATCCCTTAGATGAAAAAGTAAGGGATCATGATCATTTAACTGGAAAATACCAAGGTGTAGCACATAATATTTGTAATTTAAACTACAAGCTCCCCAGTTTCATTCCGGTGTTTTCCCACAATCTAGCAGGATATGATAGCCATCTATTCATCAAACAACTTTCTGTTGAATATGATAAAATTGATATTCTTGCACAAACTAAAGAGAAATACATTTCATTCACAAAGTCAATATTGGTTGACAAAATTGAAGAAGCTGATCGAAAGTGGAGGGTTATGGAAAGAGGTGCCTCCTCAGAGTAGTAGATAATTCCAATAATTAAGGTGGGTGATGAGGAGTGTCCCTCAAATTATAGACCTGTGGCACTATTGCCAACGCTTGGCAAAATAATTGAAAAGATTGTTAAGAAGCGTGTTGTTGGGTACTTAGAAAAAAACAACATTCTACCGCAGGAGCAATTTGGGTTTCAGACCTCCAAGGGGACTAGTGATGCCATTTTCTCGTTTCTGGAATCGCTGTACCTGAATCTTGACCATGTTGATGTTGCAGCAGCGGTTTTCTGTGATCTGTCAAAGGCATTTGACTGTGTTGATCATGGGAAATTGTTGTGGAAGCTGCAATCATATGGATTAAGAGGAAGCGCTCTCAACCGGTTATTTGGCATGCAGGACACAGTAAGGCATTGAGGAATGGTTTTCTCGAAACTTCTATAAGGGGTTGTCTCTTTCATTTCTGCCAAAGCATATATAGGAAAGTTCAAGAAGCAGGGATGAAGAAAAAATATGATACTGATTCGGATTTTGCCTTGAAAATCCGTTTGCTTACCTTAATAGATTTTGTTCCGCAAGCACACGTAGTAGCAGCATTTGAAAACCTATGTGACAGCGATATCCTTCCAGAGGAAGCCCAGTTAATAATAGATATAATAGATTATTATGAGGATATGTGGATCGGCCGACCAGAGAGAAGGAAAAGGAGTTGTAACTCAATTTTTGAGCATACCATGTGGAATTGTGACGATGCCACAATAAATTCCTTGCCTAGGACAAACAATTCTATTGAATGTTAGCATAGAGGCTTCGAACACCAAGTTACCTGTAGCCATCCATCTATATGGAAATTTATAAAGGCTCTGCCAAGAGAAGAAGCACATGCTTCACTTAAAATCGAGCAGTATATAGCTTGTCAAGCTCCATTACAGCAAGCGAAAAGTTATAAGGACTCTTCCCAACGTTTGAAGAGGTTATGTTCTTCATACGACCCAGAAAATAATTTCGATTATTTTCGAGGTATAGCTCATAACATTACTTTTTAATAAAAAAAAATTACCGTAAGAACGCAGCATTTTTAGGATTTTTAGCAAACCTAAGATACCCCTATACAATATACAATGATATGTTCGAGCAATAATCTATTCGAGAAATTTATTATTCGAGCAATTCTTCTTTCGAGCAATTGGTTTTCGAGCAATTGTTTTCGAGGAACTTTCCTAGATGGTCATTTATCTCGGTTGCCAAATTTTCAAAATGATTCGCTTTTTAGTTTTCCATAAACGTCTAATACGCCATCCACCGTGGGACACTCTGTATTCATTGCCTATATCTATTGATATCATTGTCAAGCCTCTTACTTCGCCACCGATAGGGTTTATGGTAACTTTGCAATTTATAAATTCAGCCAACAAAAAAGTATTGCGGATCTCATGACAAAACTATTGTTCAAGCCAAGACTTGAGTTTTTGAGGCAGAATGGGATTGACCAAAATTTTCCAATGGGGTATAAACATATGGTGGAACCATGAACATGCCCCAGGTCATAAGGAGTTCTTGTGAAATCAATTATGAATTTCTGAACGCTTGGTGTTACCAATCGAGTATCTCCTCAAAAATTTCACCAAATGTATCAAGATTACTTTTTTTTTGTTGTTCATTTTTTTAATTTGAAGAAAAAACTTCAATTCTTATTTGTGTTTTGTTTATATTTGGTGGGAGTAATGAGATTATGGGAGGAATGGTTGACATTGTTGACATAAAGACACAAACACACCGCAGCCACACCAAAAAATTATGGTGTGACCGGTGCGACACCTGGAGCGCACCCGAAGTACTTTCTGAACGGAACAGAGTGCGCTCACTCGGTGTACTCATAGCATTTATGAACGGCTAGTACGTCGCACCGGTGTCACACTCACACTGAGTGTGTAATTCCTGAACTCGCCCCTGTATCTTGCTGGAAGATACCTACTGACACCTGTAAGTCTGTCAAATCGATCTGTCAAATAAATATGTGAATCCAACTGGAACAAAATCATTTCTTGATGGAAAGAGATACTCAAACATGGACCAAAGTGTGGATATTTTATTCTTGCTCAGTTTCTGAAATTATTGCGTTCGTTTTAATTGGCTTCGGAGGCTGGTACCTGGTGAATCTTCCTTACGACGAAGTGAATCTCTATTGGACAATAAAAATTGCGTCTATCATGAATATAGTAATTGGATTAGTAACGATTGTAGTTAGTAGTGTGGGATGTTTCAGTACTATCGTGAAAAGTAAACTCGTGTATAAAACTTTTGCTGCCCTCGTGATGGTAAATGGCCTGCTAATGATGGGCTTTGGAATTTACCTTGTGGTTACATCGGCCAAAAAATATGACCGAAAGTTGAAAATGGATCTAGAGAAAATGCTAATAATGAAATTCAGAGGATATTTCCACAACTGGGAAGATAGCAATTATGTAGACAATTTTCAGACGTACTATAAATGTTGTGGTCTGTATAAGCCAGATTATTGGCAGGTAGCACCTCCACGTAGTTGTTATAGGTCCGGGTCGCTTCATAAAAAAGGATGTGTTGAAGCTTTCAGTACCATTTCTCCTGTCATGTTAGCCCTGGGTATTGTACTGATAGTTTTCGCAATATCTGATATTGCTCTAGCTATACTGGTTGTCTATTTTGCCAAAAATGTTCGACAGGACGCGCAGAACTATCCTTACTTTAACAACCCTGAACAAGAAGTACAACCAACTGATATTAGTTATCCGAGGGGGCAGTATAACATCCCATCAACTTATCGAACTCATCAATAAAAAATCAAGATTGGAATCACTCAATATTCTTGTTTCATTATCTGTTCTTTCTTAAGAAGACTTTTCTCAATTGAAATTCAAAAAATTAATTTCAGAGAAGGGAAAATATATTTTAAAAAGGAAATTGTGTTTTAAAAGGTGTAAATTTAATTTGGGATAATGAAATATTTTATTTTTACTAGACTGATGTCCGTTTACCCTTCGACTCTATACTATCTTGGACTGATCTTTGTTTTCTCTACTTGATTGTTTAAATAGTTTTTTGGTCCCACTATAAATTCGCATGATTTCGATACGTTGACCTAAATTCTATTCCAGGCTCTTAAATTCTCTTTAACTAAAAATGTTCGAAGAAAACAGAAGTTCAAGAGTTGGAAAAAGACCAAAATTAAGACAGAAAAAATTAGAAAGAATATTTGGAAATTATTGAGTACTTAATGGAAATAGGAAATTTAGGGAAAATTAAAGACAAACTGGGTTGACTAGTGAGAATTCAAAAATTTTCTCTATTCCAGGCTCTTGAATTTTCTTCATTCAGAGACAAAAACTGACGCTGGAGTAAGTTTGATAATAATTGAAAAATGGAAAGAGGAATTGGTTGACATTTACGAATAGGCTATTTTCATTATTCCAGACACTTGAATTCTTTTAATAAGGAGGCAATTTCAAGAGCCAGCTATTATGTTTGGATTATTAAAATTAACAGAAAAAATTGAAGGATTATCGATTGGTTCTGATGAATCCAATGGTAATGCTGGGATATTCTGATTATTTCCGATATTAATTAATATACCATACTAATCTCGAAAATCCTCCAGTTTAACTTATTTTTGAAAGTATGAAACGTGACAAATATTCTGTGAACTGGTTAGAAAAAAAGTTGCATTTGTATTGTTCTTCTGCCAGGGATGAGGAAATGGATTTCTTGTGAAAAGGTGTAGTTTTCTCAACAGTGAAATCAAGGGTATGTAGTCCTTGTTTGGAACAAAGTTAATATGGCTTGAATTGAAAGCATGCCCTTCTGATGTGTTCAAATAAGGACGAAACGCGTAAAGAACTGGCAACGGAATGTTGGATACACAGCTTGATGGCGGGCCAGTTCTCAAACAAGGACTATTATGCTTCACATTGATAACAACCTGAGAAAACTTGTTGCATCAAAATTGTAATATGGTTATTGGAAATTAAACAAATCAGATAATTTCAATTTTTTTATTTTTTTTCATCAAATTCAATTATAAATAGGCATAGGTTGTCTTGGGTAAGCGTAAGTATAGTATTGTGTTCCTGGTCGAACAATTTTGGCTAAGTAAATAACCATTATTCCTAGGAAAATACTATATATTGCAAGCAGAAGACATATAATACCCATAGTTAGTATGGATGAATCCTTAGTCGATTTTTTGTTACTTTGGAAACGTTCCTGATCATCTGTCTTGGTCGAGAAGATTATAGCGGTGATTCCTAAGCCCAACATAATCACGGCATCAACAATCATAAGGCTAGCAAATATAATCAACAAGGGTTTGTTATTCATTATAGAACCGCAACATCCCACAATACCAACTATAATCATTATAAATCCACCTATTATGGCTCCGATACCGGCGGATTTTTCCAGTGAATTGGGTTCCACGTCGTCAGAAGATTTCGTCACCATATCCGCTCCGGAACCAAGGTAACCAAGCCCACCAAGTATGTAAAATGTGCAAGTAACAATTATCATCACTTTGATACATGTTCTGGCGTCGGTGTTATCCATTACGAAATGATTTTGCTATCACAAAAAATTCTACTTGAATTTATTTACTACTTATTTGAATTGATAGATCCATTTGACATACTGTCATTGGCCCCTGTTGGAAATAAAGTTCGAAATATTTATTCTTGTTGAGTTTGCTATTAATTTGAATAGGAAACTCAAATATAAATAAAAGACACAAATCTACGTGAAATTCTATTTATTACTGAAAACCCAAAACCCACCTGCAAGAATGCAAGTCGTCGAACAACCCAGGACCACTTTAATATAAACAACTTTTTATGGTTTTGTGCGTATGTTGACATGGAGTAATTGTTTATATTAATCATCAAATATAATATAATATTTAAATATATACATACATAACACCTCCTCCCTTAATGAAAAATAAATAATTAATTTACCATGCTACATGCCTACATTAAATCTATCAGGGCGTTGTAACTTACTACGCCGTCTTAATCTACTTTCAATTATTAGTTCGTTGTTATCTACAACCACTGGTTCATTATTTATTTCAGGCTCGAAATCACTACTTATTTTACTATCAGGATTTTCTACAATATCCTCTGCCTCTAAAATTATATTTTCCTGTAATTTTGATAGGGGAATAATAGAAACGTCATTCTTATTCAATTGATTATTACTGGAATTTATTCTCAGCTGATTGGTATGTCGTTTCCATTGTTTTCCATCATCAGTTTGAATTAGGTAGGTTCTTTTGCCAAGAACGTTACTTATATACCCACTACACCACCTCGGTTGATCAGCCCTAAAATCGCGAGCCCACACTTTATCATTTTCCTTAAATGAAATGTTATTTCTTGTTTGATAATATTCCATTTGATAAGATTGTTTTTTATGAACAGCCCTTGTGGTAGAAGGCAACATTAAATCAAATTTTGTTCTTATATTGCGATTAAAAAGTAATTTGGAGGGTTTTTCACCCGTAGTGGTGTGCGGCGTATTACGATACATAAACAGAAAACGGTTTATAATCAAATGAACGTCATTCCGAGGATCTTCATGTCGGGCTTTCAAAATCGCCTTTTTCATAATTTTGACAGCGCTTTCTCCTAACCCATTTGTAGCTGGGTAGTATGGAGCACCTGTGAGATGTTTAACGCCACTGTTTGACAAAAATGTCTGAAATTCATCAGATACAAAAGTTTTCGCATTATCGGTACAAATTTCAAAAGGTAATCCAAATCTTGCAAAAAGCTCACGAAAAATCTTTATTGTGGTAGTGGCCGATATATTATAGACTTCAAAACATTCAATCCACTTCGAAGTAGCATCTTGAATGACTAGAAAATTTTTGTTAAATAACGGCCCAAAAAAATCGGCATGCAACCTAGTCCAAGGCTCTTTTGGCCAATCCCACACGGCCAAAGATGTTTTGGGAGGATTATCAGCATAGACAGCACATGCATTGCAATTTTTTGTTAATTCCTCAATGTGAGAATCAATCGACGGCCACCAAAAATATGACCTGGCTAATGACTTCATTTTAACTACTCCCAAGTGTGTACTATGCAATTCCTCCAAAAGGGTTTGCTGAAAATATTTTGGAACAACCAAACGATAACCCCACATGAGACAGTTCTGTTCAACAGTGAGTTCTGTTTTTTTGGAGAAAAATGATTTAAATTCCTCAGCTGGACATACACAAGGCCATCCATTTTGTACAAAAAATAAAATTTTACTGAGTATAGGATCTTTAAAGGTATATTTTTTTATTTCTTCAAACTTTATAGGGAATTTTTGTTCATTTAAATAATGTAGATAGGAAATATTTGTGTTTATTTTAAAATATAGAAAATCATTTTGTTCGACATTCGAAGAATTTGGTATAGGAAGCCTTGACAAACAATCGGCAACATTTTTTTCTGAGCTCACATATTTTATTTCATAGTCAAAACTAGACAATATGTGAGCCCATCTTTGCAATCGATTTGCCGCAAAAATTGGTATACCTTTTTTATCTCCAAAAATAGATAAAAGAGGTTTATGATCCGTGACCAAAACGAACCTTTTATGGCACAAATATTGGAAAAATTTCTTCACGCCAAAAATAATCGCTGCCGCCTCCTTGTCTATTTGAGAATATGAAAGTTCGGCCTTATTTAACAGGCGAGATGCAAACGCAATTGGTCTTTCGGAGCCATCGTCATAAATATGACTCAAAGTGGCTCCCAAAGCAAATTGAGAAGCATCCACTGTTAATTTAATCTTTCCATCAGGATCGAAATGGGCTAAAACTGACGAAGAGAGCAAAATATTTTTGGCATTTTCAAAACTATTATCACACTCTTTAGTCCAGTTCCACAGAACATCTTTTTTAAGTAATCTATATAGTGGCTGTAAAACAGCTGAAGCTTTTGGAAAAAATTTGCAATAAAAATTTATCATTCCTAGAAAAGATTTCAATTGAATAACAGTTTTTGGAATAGGAGCTTTTTTTATGGCATTTATGCGTTCATCCGAGGTATGCAAACCACCTTTGTCAATTTTATGTCCTAAATATTGAACTGAATCTTGAAACAAAAAACATTTATCTTTTTTAACTTTCAACCCGCACTCTTTTAAACGTCGAAAAACATCTTCCAAGCGCCCCAAATGTTCTTGGTCATTTTTACCTGTGACCAAGATGTCGTCCAAGAAGCAAACGACCCCCGGCATGACAAACATTTGTTCCATTATAGATTGGAAAATTGAAGGAGCACTAGTCACCCCATAAGGGAGTCTGGTATATGAAAAAAAACCCTTATGAGTTGCTATCGTGACGAGTTTTCTAGATTCGTCTGTTAACAAGATTTGTTGATATGCCTCTGAAAGATCAATCTTAGAAAATTTCTCCCCTCCTTGCAACTGAGAAAAAATGTATTCAATTCTAGGCAAAGGGTAACGTTGAACCTGTAAAACTGGATTCAACGTTACTTTAAAATCTCCACAGATCCTTATAGAACCGTTAGGCTTTAAAACTGGCACAATGGGCGTAGCCCAATCGGAAAATTCTACAGGTTCCAAAACACCCATCTTTACTAAACGCTCTAATTCCAGTTCAATTTTAGGTTTTAGGGCAAATGGGACGGGTCTTGGTTTAAAACATTTCGGGACCGCTCCCTCTTTCAATTTTAATTCAACCCGAAATTTGTTGAAAGTGCCAATTTTAGAGTCAAATGTTTCTTTATACTTGTCCATTAAATCTGAAATGTTTAAATAATTTATTATTTGATGTTGAGGCTTAGCTGAAAAATATTTAATTTTGCCAATTCCCAAATCTAACATTTTAAGACCATTTCTACCAATCAGTGGTGGCCCCCCATTTTTTATGACATATATTTTCAAGGTATATGATTTATTTTCAAAATTAACATTCAATTCTAAATAACCCAAGGGTTCGAAGCCGATGCCAATATAATCTTTCAAAAATAAATCATTTTTATTTAATATGATAGATTTGAAATGTTTTAAATATAATTTTTCCGAAATAGCTGAATGGGCAAAACCTGAATCGGCCTCGAAACTGATAGGTACATTTTCAACTACTAATTTCACGTATGTGGCCTTACATTTCCACTACAATCTAAATTTTCAAATTCTTCTTTAATATTAAAAATGGATTCTGCTCCATTGTCATTATTCGAGTCATCCTTTAAAAAATTTTGAGAAACACGTTTTTTGCACTGGGGTGCCAAATGACCCTTAATGCCACATTTATGGCAAATACAATTGCGATAAGCACACTGATTTGCAATGTGGTTGAAGCGGCCACAAACACTGCATGGATTTTGTGGCTGCTGCTGGCGGTTAGCACTTACCCCTTGTTGATACCCTTTCGATGCTCTACCATTTCCTGAATAAAATCCTTGTGCTGAAGTGCCGGGATGTCCCTGTTGATTGTTTGTAAAAGGTTTTCTCGATTTTTGTTGATAAAAATTTAATGGTTCGGATTTAACAACCACTCCCAAATTTTCTCTTGCCATATGATCACGAAATGCCGATTCTTTGGAAAGGGCAATTTTCACCATTTGCTGAAAAGTAGCCCGTGACGCATCTTCTTCCACGAGTCTGTCCAGAATTTTTTCATCATTTCCGTACTAAGTTCCAATTGAAAGCCGCAATTGGATGCTAAATTTTTTACCCTGGCTTCCCATTCGGCAACACTTTCATTCAACATCCTTTTTGCGTTATAAAACTTAATACGTTCGGCAAATAACGATTTGACCGGACTAAAATGGTCTTGTAGCAATTTCACTAAGTTACCATAATCCACTTGTTCTGGCAAATTTGGGACACACAAACTTCGCACCAGAATGTAACAATCCTCTGTTAAAGTATTTAATAAAATAGCTCTTTTCCGTTCATTGTCTGTTATTTTATTAGCAATAAAATATTGTTTTAAACGCTCACTAAATACGGAAAAACTGGATATTTTTGGATCAAATATAGTCAAAGATCCTAATAGTCCAATGTATTGAGTTATTTCTGCTTCGGTATCCGTCATTTTGGTATTTTTATAATTGTATAATATATAAAAAAAATTCTGCTACTTAGGTACTTCTCACTGCACCAAAACTGCACTATTCGTATACACGTGAGTTACTAAGTTCACAACTCGTCGCCGATGTTGAGTTTGCTATTAATTTGAATAGGAAACTCAAATATAAATAAAAGACACAAATCTACGTGAAATTCTATTTATTACTGAAAACCCAAAACCCACCTGCAAGAATGCAAGTCGTCGAACAACCCAGGACCACTTTAATATAAACAACTTTTTATGGTTTTGTGTGTATGTTGACATGCAGTAATTGTTTATATTAATCATCAAATATAATATAATATTTAAATATATACATACATAACAATTCTGATCACACCTTTATTCCTGTCAGCTTCATTCAAGTTATCGACACAAGCTGATGTGGAGGATAGTAAATGGCTTGGATCCATACACTATACACCATTTATGTAGAAACTTTTTGGTTTTTTAATATGGATTTCGTAAGATTTTTTTCTCTTTTGCTACAATCCATGA